GACACCGGCACAGCACGCGATCTTCATCCTCTACACTGTCTCACAACGAAAACACAATACCGACCCCCGTCTCAATACGTAACGGCTCCCATCAACATCTTAATCAACAAAAGCGCACCTCAAAGATTTGAAAATTAAGACAGGCTTCGTTGCAATGCTCAATTTTGAATTCCCTATAAGTTCACAATTTATTGCATCAATGTCACGTTCTCGAGGTGGTTATGGTTACCGTCCGTTCATTTCCGTATGTGTCTGCCAGAACTGCTCGCTCGGATCTCTGAAATACAGCCTTAATGATACTGGTGTCCGAGTAGAAGAAACCTAAGCCAAGTTGCTCACATTTTGTCTGAATTTTTAAAAACCAGTTCGGCACCATGCACCGCCGTGCTTTAGGTTTTGCCAACAAATGACCTAATTTTAAACAATCTGTTTTCATTCACGAAATCCAGTCTACACCACATGCGGGTAACTGCTTTAACACATGAAGGTTTCCAACCCATGTCACCGGCCACGGCCTTGGACGGGGTATATTGACCGACCACAATATTCGGACCAATCAGAGACATATAAAGCCATATATACGTATCTTGACCAATCAGAGACATATAAAGCCATATATACGTATCTGGACCAATCAGAGACATATAAAGCCATATATACGTATCTGGACCAATGCTGTATCGTTCTATAAGGAATAGGACCATGTCACCGGCCACTGCCTTGGACGGGGGTATATTTACCGACCCCAATGAACAAGCGTTCGGACCAATCAGAGACATATAAAGCCATATATACGTATCTGGACCAATCAGACACATATAAAGCCATATATACGTATCTGGACCAATGCTGTATCGTTCTATATAAGGAATAGGACCTGAAGCTCCATAATTCCTGTACGGCAACCTACCAATAGTCTTGGACTTATTAGCTATATATTAAGTCACAAACCGTTGTTTCGGGAAAATTCGGGACAAAAAAAGCGATATAGATCTGCGTTAGGTCGACCAACTAATTATTGTTATTTCGGGAAGTCTTCGGTCTGTAGCGTCAGAAATTATCGTTATGTCGGGGCGAAATAGAAATAAACATGTAATGTCGACCAAATAATTATTGTTATGTCGCCCTCTCCGTCCTCCCCCTTTCCTAATTATCATTAAAACAGAGACATTCGCTATTAAGCCCCGAAATAACAATACTAAAAAGGGCTGACATGACGAAGATTATGTTTATCGCCCCGAAATAACGATAATTGTGTTATGGCTGTTATCTATCCTTTCGTTATTTCGAAATAATAGCATTGTTATATCATCTTACCTGTAATAAATACTGTAGTCCCTAAATGTCAGTCCAGGTAATACACAGGATGTCACACCTGTGTGGGGGTAGGGTCTAGGGCCTATTGGCAGTACAGGTAAGAACAGGTGACAGGTAACCACCACACAGGATCTTTATTCCTTGTTTTTTACAACACATCGGAGAAAAGTCATGACATATACAGTATTTACAATACAATACAATGGCATACAACATAATAGTACAGCATTACACAATATTATGAGTTACATCATGATCTATAATATCAATGTCATACCATATATTAGAATACAGCGTGTTACAGATACATAGCATTATCAAATGCGATAGAAGTTAATTATATATATATATATAAGAGAATGGAATTCAAAATAAATCCATATTTGACTGATTTTTAAAAAAATTACAACCATATTTTTAAATATTCACTAATTGAAAAATCCTATTTGCAGGATAAAATCTTTGTCACAATCAATATGTTTATCTCCACTACTACCTAAATGAGTCTCATCCTAAAAGGGGCATAAACTCAAATGCCATCGTCTATTATAAGATATATATCTTTATAAGTCTTTGTCGATAGTACGTGTGACAAATACCATGGCTAGATCGCTATATTTAGCTCATCAGTTAAGTCAGTATATCTGTTTTCATGGTTTAAACATGTTCTTTTTTTTGTGAAGCTTTTCAAACGTTAGAAAATATTTACGAAATGAAGGCTATCACCTTGGATGCTGAGTATGATTGCCCCCGAGCCATACCCTCCCCACACAGGTGTGCTGGTCACCTAGCAATGGCTATCTATCACCTTGGATGATGAGTATGATTGTCCCCGAGCCCTACCCTCCCCAAACAGGTGTGCTGGTCACCTAGCAATGGCTATCTATCACCTTGGATGATGAGTATGATTGCCCCGGAGCCCTACCCTCCCCACACAGGTGTGCTGGTCACCTAGCAATGGCTATCTATCACCTTGGAAGATGAGTATGATTGCCCCGGAGCCCTACCCTCCCCACACAGGTGTGCTGGTCACCTAGCAATGGCTATCACCTTGGATGATGAGTGTGATTGCCCCCGAGCCCTCCCCTCCCCACACAGGTGTGCTGGTCACCTAGTAATGGCTATCATCTTGGATGATGAGTATGATTGCCCCGGAGCCCTACCTTCCCCCACACAGATATGCTGGTCACCTAGCAATGGCTATCACCTTGGATGCTGAGTATGATTGCCCCCGAGCCCTACCCTCTCCAGCACGGTCACCTAGCAATGGCACTGACCTTTAATGCTTAGTATGATTTGTCCCCGAGCCCTATCCTCTCAATATAGACCTATGTGACACCGTGTATTACCTGGACTGACATATAGGAACAATGCATACAGGTTAAACGAGGTCACAAACTATTAAGTAATTATATCGTATTTATTTTAAGTGTTTATGTACAGTGGTGAATGTTTTAGCATATTCACTCATAGATGTATTCAGAGACCTAAAGAGAAATGTCAAGATAGATAACTCGTGTTGACTTCATGCAAAATTTTGCTCTATGTTGCGATATTCGTTCTTTTACAACATATGTTATGCACAAAGTTGTGTGTATCTTTTGTTAATTCTTAACTGAGATTAAAAAACCGGAAAGATTTGTTTTAAATCGTTTTAAAAATGAATTTTATCAATATTATAATGTTTCGCTGGCTAATTTTGTTAGATATTTTTTATATAAATCATCGGCGAATACTAGCTGACATTTCAGTCAAATTAACTGTGATCTGTGATTGGCTTATAACGTATAGAAGTAGAAAAAAAGATTTTACAGAAATAGTGTCTACGGTCCAAATGGAAACACCCTGGTTTTAGACACAAACAATGGCTATTTTAGTTGTTACCTATCCTTCAATTTCTACGCTTCTTAGCGGACGGACATCATGATCAGGAAACTATTCAGTAAATTATTATTTACCGCATATATTTATATACAAAATCATATGTATATATGTATATATTTACATTGTATACCTATGAGATTAGTATAAAAATCATCCAAACGATGTTTGATCACAAGATTTCACAATATGGCAACATTTTAAATAACTATATGATAATTTGTGCATGTAGGTGTCGCCATATCCGTACTGCCGACGTTGATTCCCCGGTCCTGTCAATCATTGGTGAAATATGACCAGCTGATCTGGAGTTGTACTGGCTTTAAATACTTAAACACCCAAATAACCCAAATATGACTCTGGGACTAAGTGCCCAGGGATGGGACAAGATCACTAAGCTTATCCTGATAACATGATTTTGTTAATATCGCGAAGCATAGTAAGCACATTATTGGGTGTGGGTCTCAATTGTTCCCAAGGTATCACACAGTGACTATATATAAGTCCCCAGACAGAGGTCCAATCCTAGTAACGTGAGTGGATTCACGTTTTAATGGTTAGTAATTGCGTATATGGTTATATGATGGATATGTCAATCATTATGAAAGGAATTATGAATGATCGGGGGCGGGGCTGTACACGGGGCCCAATCATGATAGCATGGATGTATTCATCTCTTCATACCATTATTTTGGGTATGCATTATACAGTTAGGAACTAGATCATTATCAAGTATTAATATACCTTACCTACAAAACATCATTTGTGATTGAATTATATTGATCACTTGAAAGTGAAATAAAACATAATATATCATCACGCGGTCGAGTTCTCCGATCATATTTCCCTTAACCGGAGTATCTCTATGGAATGGTTAAAAGACACCACAAGAGAGTTCCGAGTGACTGAAGCGGACGACAGCGATGTTGCGTCGACCTGATAATCTTTATTTCTATATCGGCATAACAAAATATCTAGTGTCCTTGTGGAGTATGCTCGATTAATCTTGGAGAAACAATGAATCGTGTTCCCCTACAACAAGGATAATAACTACATAACACAGATGTGCGCAAAAAATAAGGGCCCCAAACAATTTCTTATGAGCAAATAAACAAATATAAGTATTATAAATACACTATGTAATAATATCATCAAAGTCTGTGATATAACCAAGCAAAATGAAGATCCAGTATTTAGCATCTTAATAAACAATAACCTACTTGTGTTTTGAAAACATATTAATGTGCATGACGTTTATTTATTTATATTTTACAAATGTGCATGACGTTTATTTATTTATATTGTACAAATGTGCATGACGTTTATTTATTTCTATTGTACAAATGTGCATGACGTTTATTTATTTCTATTGTACAAATGTGCATGACGTTTACTTATTTATATTGTACAAATGTGCATGACGTTTATTTATTTATATTGTACAAATGTGCATGATGTTTATTTTTATTGGACATTTGTATATTGTACTATTTGGGCGTGAAGGTTTTGGGTCGAATCGTCCGTAATTCACTAATTATATGTAATGTAATTCCGATTAAATATGACGACATGTCAGTATGGATATATATATATACAAACTGTCATGGTCTTGTTTGATGATACTCTTGATATTTAAAATTATAGCAAGTTGTTGTATACCACTTGTTGCCCGAGTACTCTGGGGGCGGCGTTGACAGATTTCATTGTATGCAATCGTACAGTCCTCGACATGTTTCCATATACAACATATTATAGTTTTCCCTCCCGTAATGTAGTTAATTTACTCCGCTACATATTTTACCTCAAACAAGTTTTCCTTTAAAACTATTTGCACCTCTTTCTCTCCTCCCTCCCCCGTCCTCTTTCTCTCCCCCTCCCCATCCTCTTTCTCTCTTCCGTCCACATCCTCTTTCTCTCCCCCCTCCCGTCCTCTTTCTCTCCCCCTCCCCATCCCCTTTCTCCCCCCACTCCCCATCCTCTTTCTCTCCTCCCTCTCCCATTCTCTGTCTCTCCTCCTTCCCCAATCCTCTGTCTCTGCTCCCTCCCCCCTTCTCTGTCTCTCCTCCCTCCCCCTCCTCTGTCTCTCCCCCCCCCCAATACCCTGTCTCTCTTCCCTCCCCCATTCTCTGTCGCTCCTTCCCATCCCATTCTCTGTCTCTCCCCCCTCCCCATCCTCTGTCTCGCTCCCCCTCCCCATCCTCTTTCTCTCCTCCCTCTCCCATTCTCTGTCTCTCCCCCCTCCCCATCCTCTTTCCCTCTTCCGCCCCCATCCTCTTTCTCTCCTCCCTCCCACATTCTCTGTCTCTCCGTCCTCCCCCATTCTCTTCCTCTCCTCCCTCCCCATCATCTGTCTCTCCTCCCTCCCAATTCTCTGTCTCTCTTCCCTCCCCCATTCTCTGTCGCTCCTCCCATCCCATTCTCTGTCTCTCCTCCCTCCCCATCCTCTGTCTCTCTCCCCCTCCCCATCCTCTTTCTCTCCCCAATCCCCATCTCTTTCTCTCCCCNCTCTTTCTCTCCCCCTTCCCGTCCTCTTTCTCTCCCCCATCCCCATCCTCTTTCTGTCCCCCTCCCCATTCTCTTTCTCTCCTCCCCTCCCCATCCTCTTTATCTCCCCCCTCCCCATCATCTTTCTCTCCCCTTCCCCCATCCTCTTTCTCTCCTCCCTCCCCCATCCTCTTTCTCTCCCCCCTCCCCATCATCTTTCTCTCCCCCTCCCCATCCTCTTTCTCTCCCCCATCCCCATCCTCTTTCTCTCCCCCATCCCCATCCTCTTTCTGTCCCCCACCCCATTCTCTTTCTCTCCTCCCCTCCCCTTCCTCTTTCTCTCCCCCTCCCCATCCTCTTCCTCTCCCCCTCCCCATCCTCTTTCTCTCCCCAATCCCCATCTCTTTCTCTCCCCCTCCCCGTCCTCTTGCTCTCCCCCATCCCCATCCTCTTTCTGTCCCCCTCCCCATTCTCTTTCTCTCCTCCCCTCCCCTTTCTCTTTCTCTCCCCCTCCCCTTCCTCTTTCTCTCCCCCTCCCCTTCCTCTTTCTCTCCCCCTCCCCATCCTCTTTCTCGCCTCCCTCTCCCATTCTCTGTCTCTCCTCCCTCCCCATTCTCTGTCTCTCCCCCCTCCCCATCATCTGTCTCTCCTCCCTCCCCATCCTCTGTCTCTCCCCCCCCCTCCCCATCCTCTTTCTCTCCCCAATCCCCATCCTCTTTCTCTCCCCCTTCCCGTCCTCTTTCTCTCCCCCCTCCCCATCCTCTTTCTCTCCCCCCTCCCCCTCCTCTTTCTGTCCCCCTCCCCATTCTCTTTCTCTCCTCCCCTCCCCTTCCTCTTTCTCTCCCCCTCCCCTTCCTCTTTCTCTCCCCCTCCCCTTCCTCTTTCTCTCCCCCTCCCCATCCTCTTCCTCTCCCCCTCCCCATCCTCTTTCTCTCCCCAATCCCCATCCTCTTTCTCTCCCCCTTCCCGTCCTCTTTCTCTCCCCCCTCCCCCTCCTCTTTCTGTCCCCCTCCCCATTCTCTTTCTCTCCTCCCCTCCCCATCCTCTTTATCTCCCCCCTCCCCATCATCTTTCTCTCCCCTTCCCCCATCCTCTTTCTCTCCTCCCTCCCCCATTCTCTGTCTCTCCTCTTCCCCCCATCCTCTGTCTCTCCTCCCTCCCAATTCTCTGTCTCTCTTCCCTCACCCATTCTCTGTCGCTCCTCCCATCCCATTCTCTGTCTCTCCTCCCTCCCCATTCTCTGTCTCTCCTCCCTCCCCCATCCTCTGTCTCTCCCCCCTCCCCCATCCTCTTTGTATAATATTTGTCAGTGCTGTCCAATCGCCGCTTCATAAAAGGAGACGGATTAACAAAAGTACTTTGTACTTGTTTTCGAATACTATATGCATATTATGTTTGTATTACTAAAATATTATACCGACAATGAAATAAAGTTTAAACTATCGCTAACGGTTTGAATATTAAAAAAAAGGCATTATGGTACCGTACGAGTTATGTTTTTCTCTTATGCCGGTCAACTTGAGGCATTATTATATATATGCTCAAAAAATAAATGCAAAAATCAGTTTGCTTCCCCAAATCACGTTTTTTGTGGATGATGTTTCCCAAAATCAATAGGCACTGGTACCTTTGGAGAAAAACGTAGCAAAAATCACCGAGTATTACTGTCAAAGAATCGCGCACCTGTTATTCCGGAAGAAACGTATCGTGTCGGCTTAAAAATTATATATGACAATCTGTCAAATTGTGTCCAATGATTTTTTGTTGAATCGTTGTGAAATGATAAGTATCCGTCAATTTCTTTGTACTTTTTCGGTTAAGTTACTCTTTTGGAAAATACTAAAACTGAACGCAGGAATAAGAAAATAAAATGCTTAACGCCCCGAAACGAGAAAATGCGAGAATACATGGGTGGTCTCGGAGCGGAAGCTACAGTGTGTTGATCAGTCTATGGTATTTCATAGGGCAAGAAGACGGGCATAGTGTATGTTTGGAAATAATGAATTTAAACCGCTAACATGAACCGACTGGGATTTATTAATGTTACGGGATTTATGTTCTAGTTTGTGTAATCATTTAAAACAACAATGACTGTCTGTCAAAGTGGTGAGTAAGGGAGTAACGGAGGGAAAATTAGGTGTAAATCCGGTGTATAGAACAGCCCGAATTTTGTAAATGGCGAACATGGAGGACCGTGAAAGTATTTACGGTTCCAATTATTCGCAATCGTCTGTGCCAGTAACGCCTCCGGGATTAGAGGCGATATATACGGAATGTCGACGACTTTATCCTGACCAGCCGAATCCATTACAAGTGACAGCATTAGTAAAATACTGGTGAGTATTTGGCCCGTTTGACACGGTGGCCATGTTTGTGTATTGCAAATTGGGTCTTTGTTGTAAACATAGGCATTGGCTAATCTTAAATATTGTATTTTCATATAAAATGACAAGCAGAGTCTAACCTTTTCCTTTCTGATGTTCCAATACGGTTGTTAAAATTTGATTTATGGTAGAAAAATCATAAACATTCCCCACAAAGACGTTTAGAAATTCTCGTATCTTGTGTATTCGACATTTTTCAAAACTGGCAGTAAAAGCCGTATGCATTTCATTGACTGACTGGTAAAATAATTGTTCATTTTCTCTTGGAAATGTTAGCTATTGTGCCTAATGTGATGTTCTGGCCTTCCTAGATTGGAAAGTATCACGTACAATAAAAACAGGTCAAGTACACCCTGCCGATTGAGCTATAAAGTATAAAGACCTATATAAGCTTATATATGGGGCAAAGAAGTAATTCCAACAGTGTGGATAACTATAGAGTGCTATTTTCTCAGATTTCAATTTTCATTAAAATTTAAGCAAAGTCGCATAAAACAACAAGGTTAATGGTAATGTTGACTACAAAAAGTATACAGTTAGATGTTTATTTTCATTTTTCATAAATGTTAAATTTCTGATTTTTTTACATCATTATTTTTTAAAAACAATACTTATATTTAATGTCTTTTGTTATCAATCTATTGATAAAATCTTCTTTTAAAAGTTTTCCTTAAAAAAAGAAAATCACATAGAAATAGCTTAAAAGACCTATTTCATCGTCAATAGAGCTATTATAGGTCTTTACAGCTATATAGCTCAATTGCATTTGGCAGAGTGTACTGGACCGGAATAGTGAATAACATGAAGAAATAGTCTACATTAATATTATATCAAGAAACAAGAATGTGTTATTCGATTATAGTATAAACTTTAAGATTTTATTTTCACAATTTTGAAAAAAGTCTCAAATGGAAACTTTATGGGGGAAAAGTTAGAAAAATTGAATGGTTGGTTCATTTTTGTTTAGTTTTAATAACAAAAAACAATTTTATGGGAAACGAAAATTTCACATTATTCACTTTCAACTCTAACAAAATAGGTGACATGTACACAATCTTTATGTAGATTGACAGGTTTTAAAATTTTGCTTAAATATTTGACAGAGACTTGACGAAGATTTAATTTTCAACCAATAAGGGACTAAAGAACAGAATCAGCTTATTGAAATCATTGAAACCTTTCATGGAAGTGTTTACATAACAGTGCAAAATGATTTATTGAATATGATCATGACTAGTGTTGTTATTTTATCACTTACAAAATTGACAAGGTAAAGTTAGTTTGATTTTGTTATATTAAAGACACTGTTATTGTAAAGTTGTGAATTGTTTCAAAATTCATTGTCGATCATAACAGTTTTTCAATCATTTGGTGATTCATCATAAATTGAAAGGGAAAAACTAAAGGAGCATTCACCAAATTTATTAAAACTAAAATGTAAATATTTTTTTTAAATGCCTTATTTATATATAATGTGTAATTAGAATATTATTTAATTACACAGACTGTTTTTGAGAAGCTATTAAAGCTACTTGACATCAATTGATTTGATTTATTGAAATAACATTTTTTTATTGATGAATGGAGCATTTTATTGCATTTTTTTTTTTTTTTTTTTTATAAATTGGACATTACACTATTGAAAAAGACAGCTTTGATGAAAATTTAAATGCACACACATGTATGATATTTTTGAACCAATCATAATTCATTTTGTGGTTAATGGTTTTTAAATGTAAATTTCATTTACTTTACAATGAAAAAGTTAATTGACTTATTAATTAATCTTGATGGAGCATGTATGCAAGTAGTCCAAATTATTCTGATGTTTTATCAACTTTTTTTATATCAGTCTGGCGTCTGTCTACGACATGTGTGTGAAAGTGACGATTTGTTTCTAAAATATCAGTTTGAAGAGCAAACATGGCGCGGGTCGCTTATTTCCCACATGTTATAGAGGGCCAGAGTTCTGACGTTAATCAACGTCAGACCGATATAAAAAAAGTTGATAAAACGTCAGAATAATTCGAACTTTTTATGCAAGTGTCCATGCCAACAAGGAGTCTTAATGTAACAGGGGAACTGTTTTAAAAAAGTTAACCATATTGTTGGGTAGTTGACCAAATATACCTTTTCATGTCTACTTTTATTGAACTCTGACTAGTGCTGTTGCTGGACAAAATAATTTTTGCTGTGTTACTGCAGCTACATTGTATATCCACTTCACCACCCAACCACCCTAAAGTATTTTCTTTCAAAATCACTTGACATAAAGTCTGGTTCCAGTAGTGCTTCTGAAAAGTTTGTCCTTGAAGTTTTCTTCTGTCTTTTTATTTTTGTATTTTTTTTTATGTTCCATGAAAAATTTAAGATTCTTTGAACAAAAGTTCAATTTTTTTAACATAGACATTTAAGATACACTTTAAATTGAAAATCTGAACTTGAACTTTGCAATAACATGAGCTTCTATTTTGACTAGGACTTTCAAAAATGATTGAGCTTAAATACTAAAATATGAATAATAGAAAACAAAAATGGAGAAGGTAAAATTTGTTAATAGTGTTTATTTGAGCTAAACGTTGGTCTGAAATGTTATTATGTATCCATAAAAACCAAACAACAACTGATAAAAGTTGTATAGCAAGTGGTATTTATCAAACAAACCTTTAACAGGTTTCATAAAACAGACAGAATAAGGTCGGGTAATAAACAGGTTTTTTCTCCCCTACATTGTAAACAGGTTCGATTAGAAATCTCCCATGATCTGCTCAAGTATTTGTGGCTAAGTGTTGGGTTCAGGGTTGGGGTGGGGGGTTGGACAACGCAGAGCTCCCCACTTTCTTCTCTTGATCTGTAGATGTTTATAAGTACTTACAGGGATTGAGGAATGCCGACACAATGGGCCGGTAACAGAGAGGTCTCCATAAGTGGAGCCTAGGTAGACGAGGTATTGTGGTGAATTGCTGTGTTGATATATTGATCAATCCCTGGAGAGATACCCTTCTGTGAATAACAAATAAGCGTGGGGTAGAAAACCAAAGGTGATTGATAGGTTTAATATGATAATAAGGTGTTTTAATTCAGGCCTGTTATTGTTAAGATGTTAAAGGGACTATAAATATGTACTTGTACACGAGGAATAAAATTAATTTAACAAACAATGAAATTTCTGTTATCATACTGAACTGCATGTGTTTAAATATATATTGTCGTGCATCTTAATTACATGTCATTACAGACCTTTAATTATATTGCTGCGATATATATATTTGATTGTGAAGTCTGCCCATCTCTCTCAGATTTTAAAATTCAATAATAAAAAAAATACTTAACCAGTTCCATTGTACATAAATACTCATGCAAACATATAGTGCATACATAATAGCTACATGTATTACATACATAGCTACCATAGTTATCACATGGACAAGCTCAAGCAGTGATTTTACTGCCGAATACAGACCGTTTCACCCTAGCAAAATGACCAAAATCTGAGAAATATATTCCCAATTTCAATACAAATAATGCTTTATTTCCCCAATTCATAAAGGAACAGGCTGTTGTAAAATTTAGGTAACGAAAACACTGTCAAGGAAAACATTACGGTAACAGAAGTAAATATAATAATAACCTCATAATTTATAACATAACTATACCCATTATATAAGGCACATAATAGTAACACAACAACCCTCTCAGGCCTTGTTGTTTGTCTTTCCTTGTACCAGATTGACATTTTCTCTTTGCTTCTGACTGTCACGCTTTAAGGCCAAAAATAAAATGTTGATTCTTTCCATAAACCATATATATATATACTAACCTAGAAAAAGAGACCTTCCTCATGATCACTAGTACTCAGAATATGAATTCGTTAGATTTTGATTTTTTTAGTATTACTGTTTATAAATTCCTGAAATTTTACAGTCTGTCATTGGTGGTACATTTGTTTGTGTGTGTAATACATACATATCTTGTTTTAACTAAAATTTTGTTAATGTTTTTACATCTGATAGTGTACATTATCAAAATCAAAGCATGCAACGAACAGATAAAAGCATATTTTCAAGGATTTATTAAAACCAGTAAAAAAATCTTTGTAAAATAAAAAGATTTCTCTACCTATAGCTGCCTAATACATAACCAAACCTAAAGACTGGGGTTAGGTTTTGGCATACATGTTTAATAATTATACAGGATTAATTTTGTCTACTGTAACGATATATATATGGGATACTAGCATAATTAGGATTGCTTCTGATTGCATGTGTCTGTATGTATTTGTATACCCGTACTGTAATCTCAATGTACCGGGCATTGTGGAGCTACGCAGTATTTCATTGCACTATTAGGTTTTAAAGGATAGGTATACATATCTTGAGCTTCTGTTCAACATGTCATTGTAAGGCTAAAGCATTGTATATACAAACGTATACATGTACAATACGATTTCCACCATACACATGCAATCAGCCGTTTTGTCTCCAAAATTAATATATGTACTGGTAAAATGTATAGAAATAAAGACTTGTGGAATGTTATAGGCCTCAATGATGCTGGGATCTGGTATATATATATACAGCTAGTGTTACAAGAATCTAACCGATTACATATATGTCATATATGTAGGTTGATGTTATAACTAACTGTATTTGTGAGTCAGTCACACCAGATAACTTTTCAGGCCGAAGAATTACTTAAAAGTGATTATGTTTATAGACAAGTAATTACACATAATACAATTGAAAGATAAAAAATCAAAACATGGGTTCTTTTCGAGCCATTTATAGAATGGGACTTGCATGTGAAATTGTGAGAATCTGTTTCACATCAGACAAAAAACTCCATGTTACATGTGTATTTCTGTCCTTGTATATAGTTATTGGCATGTATTAAAGACATGTGACAAATGAGCCACCTTCTTGGAACACATTTTTTCCTGACAACCTACATAA